AGAGTTATGAGTAGAGTTATATCCTACTATATTAGAAATAAAAATCTCCCTTTCAAACACCTCTTATGATTGCCACGTGACATGAGGAAAATACTAAATTGTCCTTTTGTCTAACCATAACTAAATTACTAAATCCCCTATGCACTTTACGTGACACGTTTTTTTTTAATTTTTTTTTATGTTTCATTCAATTAGAATGGTTTTCTTTTCTTAATTATGGAGTCTAAATTGAATTGATCAATTAGGTTTTTGTTACAAAGTGTCAATTTTGTTTTAAGCGTATACCTTTTGGATGAAACTTATTACAAAGCTATTAAAAATCTCCAAAACTAAATATTGATTTGGCACGACCAATGGAGAATATCAATAAATCATCTTACTAATATTTAAACGTATTAGGATGCTTTTATACTTTGTCTAACATTTATTTCAACACATATATTCGATTAAGTCTATTTATATTTAATAAGTAATACTTATAAAACATTTCTAAAACATACATGGCGAAATACAATTTCTTTTTTTTTTTGTGAAATACAAATATTTCTATGATCACACTTATAAAACATTTCTAAATCCTTCAAACATTTCTAAAATATATCGCTCCAAATACAAAATTTTCTTTTTTTTTCAAATATAAACATTTCTAAGATCTACAGATAAACTGGGCCAGGATCGTGCATTCCAGACATCACTAGTATTTGTAGAGAAGAATATCATTACTATTTTTATATTACATTGGCCGGCATTCTACGCTGTATACTTGTACGTAACGGATCTTGTGTAAAGTATGAAGATAAAATCCATGTCTAGAAACAAGGGATGTTGTAAATAAAGGTACCATATCTAGAACTAATTGTTCCCTAATTTTTGGCTGGACAAATTGCTAAATTATGTAATCTCCAGGGATAAGGAATAAAAGAAAAATGAATTTCCATAGTAAATCAGTTTTTTTTTTTTTTTTAATTTGGTACAATAAAGAAAGACAAAGCCTTAAAATTTAAACTATTAGATGTTGTGAATAAAAACTCCCTACTAGTGAATCAGTTATTTTGACAACGAATTTCCGTAGTTTTTGTTTGCTTTTTCGTTTCATTAATACATAGTCAAATAGGTGTTAAGAATGTAACCCAGTTAGTTTAGTGGAAATACTCTCTCAGGGAAGACCCGGTATTGATTCAATCTCACCGGCCGGGTGCATGGATTTCCCTGAGCTTGGATATAAACTTTGCATTTAAAAAAATTGGGCTTTTAGGGGAAAAGGTTGGAGCCTTAATTAAAAATGTAGTTTCTGCCTATGAAGATATCGAGCTAGTTTTTCAGTTGTACTTGTCGAGTATTGAACATTTCCCAAACTTGGATATAAACTTTGCATTTAAAATTGGTCTTTTAGGGAAATTAGCAACCATCATAATTTTGCCGATGTGGTACCTATGGTATATATCTTACGTCAGTATGAGTCACATTCAAAAACCTATCGTTTCAGACATTATTCTCCACGTAAAAAAAAAATGAAAACAAAATTAATGTGAAATAAAAAAAAAAGGTTATATTCACGCCAAAAAAAAAAGGTAAATCCAATTCACAATGATAAACCAAAACAAACAAAACAATGAATAACAAAGATTTTCTAATTCGAGCTGCAAACCTGCTGTAAAAAGTTTATAGGAGGTTTAACGGTGTCAGGACAATAATAGTTAAAATAAACAAAAATAGACTTCTAAATTCTGAAGTTAATGAGAGTGTTAGTGTATCTCTACAGACAAATCAGATCGCACACCTGGAGAAGAAACAAAAGTAATCACGGTAAGCAAAACAACGTGAAATCCTCTAGATGAAATAATAGACTCACCTCAAAAGGTCCAAAAATTGATATCTTGGAATTTCCAACATCAATGCAGGGCAGATCACCAAAAATAGGGCACCTCTATCTTTCGACTATTTACAAAGTACTCCCTCTAATTTTTAATATATGTTGTTTTAGGGTTTATTTGATTTTTTAAAATATATGTCATTTTACAAACTTTAGGAAACTTTTATTCTATTTTTCCAATATTAACCTTACATTGGAAATGAAATGGTATTTAAAAGAAATTGTATTGGTTAGTGATGAGTTATATAGATTAAAAATAAGGTAATTTTGTATTTTAAACGCATGATTAAATGTTCTATTGGTATTGATGAATTTGCTAGAAAGACATATATTTTAGTTGGAAAAATTGGCGGATCTACCCAAAGCTTTACATGCATCGTCAATTCTACCCAATTTTTTTTCGGTTAATCAATATTAACCTAAACTATCCAACCGTTAGCCGATTTTGTCCAATTTACTATTTTCCGTCTAAATTAACAAAATTTTATTTGTTTTAATTACAAAAACACCCTAACGTAAGGTATCTCATTGAGGGTTCTTGAGTGGTAATCTTTTAAAGTTATCAGGATTAGTGGTACGACAATGCAACTAATTGGTTTTAAAGTACCACGAGTACGACGAGTCTAAAAACAAGTCTAATTAAGTCTTACTTATTCCATAAGTACCAAAAGTATGGCTATCTATCACAAAAAATAATAGATGAAACACAAAAGGTTAAAAAGGCATCTTGAATTGAAATTCTAAATTGTATTCCCTCAGACAGCATTGCCGAGGGACATCCAACAGAGGAACTCTTAAAATCCATGAGGCTTTACTGATTATAAGAGAACATAATAATTACCTAAATATTGTCTATGTCCCGAAATTTTTATGCAGTTCTATTTTGTAGGTTTAGTACAAATTGAATTAAAATTGAAAATTCAAATTGGAGAATAATTTTAGGAAATAGGGAATATAAATTTGGACCTTATGAGTGGATGAGAAAGACTGCAGAGGGATTCCTTCATAAATGTGCAAAATTTGACAAAATTTTGAAGAGCAAATGGGGGATCAATCTGGGCTGCCACAGGTGGTGGGGATGATTTGGACGCCATGGCAGAATCATTGTCGAAGTTTAACAATTCGGTCTCAAGTTCATCATCATTTCCACATCTTCAAAACCTGTTTGTAGGGGAAGTAACACATAAAATTCATTATAATTTGCATTTTCAACTACTCATGGTGAGTATTTTAGTGGGTTTAGAGAAGCCAGTAGAATTCCAAACACTATAATTTTAGTAATGGTATATGATACGAAAGTCGGTTTGCTATTTTAGAATTTAGACCTTTTCGAACTGGTATTTTTCTTTCGCTTATTAGTTATATTGACCTTTTCTCTCCATGAAAGGGAATATCCATAAGATTTACTAACATTCAAATATACATGCAAGTTTGCTTATTATTTTTAATCTTTTTTTTCCTTCCAACAAAAACTAATATATTGAAGAAGTGGTTTGCTATTTAATTATGCTACTATTTAGAGCAAATGTTCTCGAAAAGAAGAATGGAGAAATACACCAAGTAATTGGTTATCAATTCCCCATCTAAGGTAAATTTGATCTCGTGCGACATTAATAACACCAAGTAAATGATCTGATTTAACAAATGAAATGGTGGCACAATCGCATGACAAAAATTGAAATAAATTATCAGTTTATTCAGATTTTTAAATTTAGACGGATGATTTAATTTGGTAACGTTTCATATATGATTTTTACAATGTGTTTTTACACTTTCTCATCAATTATTAGTCGTCAAGACAATTATTTTAACAAAATAGATTGTAACCAATTTTCTAGAGCAAGCATAATGAAATATAATTCAAAAAATTATTTTCCGCGCATCGTGCGACCTGGATAATACTAGTAATTCTTAAAAGGAACTATTAAATTTCTATTACTCCACTCGCTCCCTAATCAATAAGCGAGAGAGGGGGTGGAGGTTACGCCATTTCCGTATGTCCGGACTAAGGTACCAAGAGCCCTTATTTTGTTCAATCTGAAATTGGTGTTTGATTTATACTCTTTTCATCTTGAAATTATTGTTCATTTTGACTTTTCACTTTTAGTTTAATTTTTACTAAACCAATAATGACGGGACAGAAGGGGTACTAAAAATGTAAATCCAAAGTGTACAATAATGACGGGACAGAAGGGGTCCTAAAAGTGTAAATCCTTACTAAATAATCATTTTCAGATACAAGAAATACCATGTTGCATAATTTGACAAAATTTAATAATTTGAGATACATGATATATAATACTCCCTCCATTCCAAAATAAGTGTCGTCCTACACTTTGCACATAGTTTAAGAAACTCTTAAATAGCGTAATAAAATTACTTAAATATCCTTAACCTACTCCATTATAAAATTGTCCACCAATAGCATCAACTCTTTTGAGGGTAATTTTGAAAACTTTTGACAAAAAGTGCATTGAAATGTGAGAACGATACTTATTTTGGAATTTCTCTATTTTGCTAAAACGACACTTATTTTGGAATGGAGGGAGTAATTTTGAGATACAGAAAATGCCATTTTGAATAACTTGACCGAATTTCACATAGTTTAAATCTTTTATTTATTGAATTATTAAAATAATATGATAAGTAAGGTTTTTTTTTTTCACTTCGGAAATCGGAACGCTGGAAGTGTTTACAAATGTTCAATCTTTCGTGGTTCTTGTTTGCACACTTTTTTTTTTTTTTTGGTTCAAACATTTCGGACACATTATGAAGGGCTTAGTCAATTTTTTTTCACTTTTCATTTACAATATATATTCTTTCTGTCACGAAACTATTATCCACTTTAAATTTTTACTTTTAGTTCAAATTGTATTAAAAATGAAAATTCATATTGAACACATTTTGGACAGAAGGACTATACATTATCTTTGTAGCTTCCACAGAAATGTTTTAGTGATGGCAAAACATCCAACAATGAGTAAAGACTTGACAGAGATTTGTTAGATTGAAATCAGGTGATTGACTGATGGATACACATTCATTTTTCTTTTCTTTTTTCCTTTTCTCTAGTTTATAGGGCAGTGAGAAATGACAAAAGAGCCATGGTAGACAATAGCAGACCCCAAAAAAAAATAAAAATAAAAAAAAATCCATCTTTTAATTTCAACAGCGGTTCACAGAAGATACTTGAAAGCGCGCATAGGCTAAGCAAAGCGAGTCTTTTCAAAAGAATGTTTCGTGAACATAACTTTTTAAGAGAATGTAAAGTTACGTTTATGATGGAGGCGTGTTCTAAACGAAACTTTTCACCATCACTTCAATCTCTTCGCTGAACCTTTTCATGGCAGCTTTTGGTAAGCAAACCGGGACAACCATTCCTTTTACCCCTTGTTTATTCATCTTGGGAATGAGAAAGCTATAAAAATGGCAAGGCTCCGTATCACTTATTGCCGGCCCAGCGTAAACTGGATTCCCCCACCCAAAATCGATCTCATCCAATCCAAGTCTTCTCGTGTCGGAAACAATATATGAGGACGCTTTCAGGAACTGCGGGAAACCGTTCAACCTTCCTTTCAAAACAATCAGGTCAGCAAGTGACTTCATGTACTCGTCAGTCACCTCCGACTTAGCTTTAATCACCCAATCCACGGCGTAGCTGAGCGGGTTCTCGATGAGTTTCCCTGCCGTGGTTACCGCCACTGGTATTGCAATGGCATTTCCGTAATACCCTTCTGGCAAGGCCGGTTCAACCCGGGATCGGGCATTCACTGGCGCAATGAACCGTACTTCCTCATCGGAGTCGAATTGGAGGGCGATGGTGCGACAACGCCAGAGACAGGCAGCGATGAGATCGAAGCTTGAACACTTGAGGCGCAGGGAGTTGCGCAAAGCAGAGATCTCTGCCGGGCCGAAGAAAAAGGATTTCCGGACCATGTCGGAATCAGTTCCATGGTAATCACAGAACGAATTATCATCCTCGTATATCTTGTGGACACATGTCACTCTTGGAGGGTCTCTGGCCTTCAAAAGCTCCCTCCTCCAAACAGGGGTTACTGAAGGGGCAGGTGCTCCTCTAGCTATTTCCGACAAAGCCTTCTGAAATTGGGCGATTCCGACACCATCTGCTATTGTGTGGTTGAAACAGAGGCCGAAGCTGAAACCCCCACATCGAAATCGTGTCACCTGCCACAATCCCGTCTCATAAAAATAGTGAATTCTGTTGAACTAAAACGATACTCTCTCAAGTTCTTAATATAATATTTTAATTTGTCCTAAATTTCACCTATGATGTGTTTTTAATTGAAGGGAAAAAAAACGTCAAAACACATTTTCACATTTGTTGTGATCTCGTATTATTGAAAAATATTTTTAAGATTTTTCTTTATTTAAAAAATACATATTAAGTGAAATCTAAAAACAAATCAAAATATTTTATATTAAAGACGAGTATTACAAAATACACTATCCAATCATGTGAAAAAAACGAGTATTATTACTACTATTATCTCGTACACATACAACACACAGTTATAAGGATTACCTGGATGTGAAGCAAAGGGGAATCCGTAATTCCCGACAAAGAACTGCACATTAGCTTGTCCAAGCATGGAAATGGCGGCTGGATCTCATTCCCCTGGAACTCTTCCAGCGTCCCATCAGAATCGGCCTCGACAAACACCGCCCCCTCTCCGGTGCAATCCACCGCTAACTTCCCTCCACTTAATTCTTTCACTCTTCCAGCAAAAGGGTAGTAAGAAACCAGAGTCTCCGCCAGAGCTGCCTTGATAACCTTCACAGGATCCTCTGTCCTTGTTGTATCATTGTCCGATCTATTCCGGTAAAAATTTATTAGTGAAAGATGAAGACGCAACTGATCTTGGTCGTCGATATCTGACAAGGGTTTGATTTCACGAGGTGTTAGCCTCGCCGGAGAAATCAACTCCGGCATCTGCCGACTAACCTTGAAGCTTCTCGACATCGTCAAAAAACGCCTCATGTTACCCCCCTAAAATGCAAAATCAGATGGCCGAAACAACTCTAAGATAGCTAGCGGAAGATTGAAGCTGGAACAAATGCTTGTATTTGTAGAAGGGGGAGAAGAAAACAAGGGGAGAGATGGTCAGTATCAAAAAAACAATTAAGTTTGTTGAAGACCTTAACTTAAGAATATTATATCCTCCATTCAAAAAATAAATAAAAAAAATGTTATCCTTAATCTGACCTCCATATTTTATTCAAATTCTTATTTTGCAATAATTTGACCAGATTTCACGTTGACCGATAACGTATACTTACATTCTCTATTTTGTGAATTACAATAATGAAAAATGGTATGTAAAAAAAATATACATATCGTAAAAATTCTCTAAATAAACACTCTATAAATTAATAAAAAAAATATACATATAGTAAAAATTCTTGAAATAAATACTCTATAAATTAATAAATTTTATTAAATAATAAATTTTTTTTCGATCCCAACTTGGGACCAATACAAATATTAAAAAAAAATCAAAAAGTTAATAAGCTAATAAAATTTCAAAAAATTTATTTATAAATATAGATCCCCTAAAAATCATAAATTAATAATTATATAAAATACCCCATAAAACTAAGCAGGTTAAAGAAAATAGCAGTCTTTGAATTTTTATTTGGGAAAATAAAAGGGGTATGACTTTAAAATATTTTTTATTAAGGACGATAACTTATTTATCAAATATCATAAAATAAAAAATAATTTTAATTGACAATACCATCCTTATAATTTCTTTAAAAAAAATATAATAATAATAATAATGAAACAAAAGCCACAATCGATCTTATATATTCGATGAACCCTATTTGTTCCTTTCTCTGAAATTGAGAACCCATCTTGGCACTACGCAGTAATATGCTTGACAAGCTCCAAAGTCCAAACAAGCAGCTGCTTCAACACCAGATTTGGCTACATTCTTCTCCGCTTGCGTTAACTTGGACAAAGACTCTCAAAGGTTTTCTTCCACTGTTTCCGACTGCACGATCAAGGTGATTGGCAATCTTCTCATCATCTAATGTTTCAACCACAGCAAGATATGGTACTCCAGTCAAAAGAGGCTTCACTTTGTTGCTCTGCAAATTTCAAATAAAATGGCATTCTATTTCCTCGGGAAGTTGAGGGGCTTTCTGGATGACCTCTTGGACGTAGTTAACGCCGAAGCAACGGTGGTCGGCGTCGTACCTTATCGTAAAACAGGAACCGGTTTGGTCTTGCTGACAGCCACTACTCGGATCCGATCGGAAGGTCGACCACAACGCTCCGCCGCCTGATAGACCCGCTGCACCACCGATCTCAATGCGGCGGCTGCAGCGCCGTCAATGGCGGAAGCCGCCGCCGCCGCAGACTGAAGCGTTACAACTTACAAGGATACAAAGGAAAAGCAACTCTCGAATTTGTGTAAAAAACACGAGCAAAACTCTGATTATCAGTATGTCTTTGAAGACTAGATTGAATTCTGTTAGACCCCAAAATAAAATTTGGGGTCTTATTGTCAGGCCGATTTGGCCGTCAATTGAAGAAACGGGGTTACCTAATATTGGTCTTCGAATCAGAGAAGAAATAACAATTATTATCCGATTTAGTTTGCTTCCTATAATTTAGAGATAATATTTGAGACTTCCTATTTAGTTTGGGATTAATGAACGCAACAAGGAAGTATGCATTGGTTTATTAATCAAATATTTTGATTGGCATTTGGTTTGATTAATCAAAGAATCCTATCATGTTGGGTTGTTGACTTTGCATGGGAAAAGGACTCCCACTTGCTGCTATTACCAAGTTAATAAGTAATCATTTACTTATTTATGTAGGTGGGCAGATGTTCTTCTTCTAATGGGATTCTGGTTCAAGAAATCATGTGATTAATTAGAATACTACAAGTTGGGAGGTTCTTTTGAGCTAGGAAGCTTCATCAACCGGGCACATCTTTTCCTATTTAAGAGTCGCACGAGACAACGAGAAAAGGGATCTACTCTCAACATCGATTATCATTTTATTTTTTTTATTTTATTCATGAATCTTTTATTCATGTTTTCATAATTTAGCCTAGATTAAATTTTTGGCCTATTTTCCTTATAGAAATAAGTAGTCGTTCATCGTGTTCTACTTCAGTGAATTCGATTCTCTTTGTAATAGTGTTTTATCGACGTTCTCCATAGCTAGTCGGCGCTCTCTATCTCTTTTTTTTTCCATTTTAATGGATTGACAGCCACCACTCTTTGGCTTGTCTCACTCTTTCCCTATATCTTTTTCTTATTAATATTAAACCAAAGTTAACCCTAACTCCTCGATTCTAAGTTTGAGGCCGGTTTTAGAATACATCCATAATCGCTTGGTTTTGTATGTTTTAGGAGATTTTCACCCCTTCTTTCTCACGCTTTAGGGTAATTTTTTTCGGCACTAACAAGTTCATAAAGGCAGCAGTAATGGATCGCACAAATGCTTCTTTGCAGAAAACAAAAAAAAAAGTTATAATCCAAAACTCACTCGAGTGATAATAAAAAATAAGGGTAATTATGTCCTTACAAATTATATTGATTTTGTGATTATTGACAAATAAGTTACTGCCCTTCATAAAAATTATTTTCAAGTCATACCCGTTTTATTAATTAGACATATTCTACCGCCCTTTAGTAAAATTTTCTTTTTTTTATTTTTATTATTATTTTTTTGTTATATGAATGTTTATTTGGTTGTTGAGTGTGGCATTATACTTGACCTTATCTTAAGCGAACCCTCAATTAACACGTCATCTGAACCCCAAACTAAAAACTATAGCTTTTTCCTACCCCTAATTCAATGGGTGGAGATCACCTATATCAGTTTCCTATGCCAAATCCTGTAACATCGTACATACATTTGACATGTGTTCCAACAACTATATAGTCATTGTTTGTTATAACTGCAAATTATATGGGGTACGTGGTGCTCCCTGCACCGGGACGAACGCGTGTAGGCCAAAATTAAAAAATCACGTCCCCAGATTTTCAAAAAGTAGAGGGCTCCTTACGTGCACCCGGTCTTTTTTCCCCATTTTTTTCTCCTATTTTACGATCTAATTTTGCAATTGAACAATCACTGGTGAGCCTCCGTCTCAATTCTTGATTTGCAGCGGCGGATTTCTACTAATTTTTAACGGCGATCTTTCCTTCGTATTCAATTATTGTCAGTGATTCTAAGGTAACTCTTCATTTGCTAGATATCTTTGATTTAATCAAAATTTTATCGGCTGTGTTGTATGAATTTCAATCTCACCAGCAATAGCGTTTAAATTGTTTCACGAGATTAATTGCATATTTTGTGTTTGTTTTGGTTTGGTAGATGAGCTGTTCGGAAGGAATGTTTGTTGTTCCTTATTCTGGTGCCATAGTCCCTTACTCAAGTGAAGAATCAGACGATGAACGCATCGTTAATGCGGAAGAATTTGATGAAGTCTTTTCTGTTGAAGGTGAAACACAATTTCTTTATAACTGGATGAATTTTAATATTCAGAATGTTTTTAATGTTTTTTGTCTTCCATGAGTATTGTAGTTTCGTGAGATGAATATTTTGAGTTTTAGATAAATTGTAGTTCATGCAGAACTACTTTTGATGAATTATGTTTACTGAAATGAGTATTGTAGTTTTGTGAGTTGAGCATTGTAGTTTCTGACATGAGCATTGTAGTTTCATGAAATGAGCATTCCATGTTTTTACACAAACTATATCAGACTTTTATTTTTCATGGATTAGTTGTGGATGATTTTTCATTTTTTGTCTTTGTAGATGTAGATCTTCTTGGCCGTGAGTTCAAATCAGTTGATGAGGCGTATATGTGTTATGAGTCGTATGCTAGAAGACTTGGTTTCAGTATTAAGCGCTTTAAGTCGAGGTACAGAGCATGTGGCTACTTGAATATGAAACAGTTTGCAATAAACAAGGGGGTAAGAAGAGTAGAGGGAAAGGGCTTCACAATAGGATTATTACTCGTACTGGCTGCGATGCGATGCTGCAGATTAAGGTTGATGCGGAAGGCATTTGGAAGATGGTTGTGCACAAAGTTGATCATAACTACGAAATGATACCTGAGAATCAGCGTCACTTGGATCGATCGCATAGGCAGATACCAATAATGATGTAGTGCTTCTAGCTGGGATGAAGGAGAATGGAATTAGCCTTACGCATGGGTATAAGATGCTGTATAAGCAAGGGGATGGTTCTCCCAACCTTAATTATACCACCACGGATGCGAGAAACAAGGTGGTTACACTTGAACGTGCGAGGTGGGAGGGTGGTGATACGAATAAGTTAATCAATATTCTAAGGAAGAAGAAAGCAAATGAGGCTGACTTTTTCTTCGATTTCTTGCATGATGACTCTTGTAGGTTAAGTACCATTTTCTAGAGAGATGCTAAGATGAAACATGATTATGAGGTGTTTGATGATTTGGTGGTGCACGACACAACCTATAGGATAATAAGGTATAAACTTGTGTGTGCACCTTTTACGGAAATGAACCATCATTAACAAAACATCATGTTTGGGATTGACTTTTTGCTAAATGAAAAGGCCCCATCGTTTCAATGGCTTTTCTCTAAGTTTTTGAAGTCAATGGAAGGTAAAGAGCCAGCTACTTTGATGACTGATCAGAGTACATCAATGGCGAGCGCCATTCCAAAAGTTTTAAAGGAAGCACATCATCGCTTGTGCACATAACACATAGGCAAAAACTCAAAGAATCCCATTGGCTATTTGAGGGCAAAGGAAGGATTTATGGATTTGTTCTATATGGTGTTGAGATGCACGGATACACAGGCTGAGTTTGATTACTAATTGAAGAAGTAAGTATCCTTTTATGTAACTGTTTGGACAGAACATTGTGTTTTCTGAAATAAATTGCAGTTTCGAAGGATGAACATTACAGTTTTATGCATATGATATACTGTGACTGTTTTAACAGAAGTGCATAAGTAGAGTTCCTGGCATGAACATTATAGTTTCTTAGCATGATGATCATTC